TGTAATGGAATCAATTTAGTCTGACGACATTGTTGCTGCCTTTAATCTTGCTCTCCATCCTTGGGCCACTGGTGCGCGGGGGCTCCTTCACTCGGGGGCAGGGTCTCCAGTGTCAGGGCCCAGGAGGAAGGGCCGGGGGGGCGGGGAGATGGGCCTCAGGCACCACGAGCCCTCCCTGTTGGCCTTTCTTTGCCAGGCCGATGAACCTGGGCAGGAAGGCTGGGAGAGGCGGCACCCAGGTTGGTGCAAGGGCTGGTAGATGGCACAGAAGCCTCTGCATGGTGTCCAGGACTGCCAGCTGGGCAGCAGTGCCAGGCGAACTCAGCTGCTGGGCCAGGGAAGCCCAGTTCACACTGCACAGCACCTGGCGAACAGCCCCCTTGCCTCTTTGGAGAGAACTGGCACGTGTCAGCCATTCTTGGTCCTGATGCTACCTGAATGTTGGGAACAGACACTCCCCTTCCCAATACCTCTCACTCAGAAGTGTCTGGCGGACATCCAGGCAGTGCCCAACACCCCCCTGGCAGTTTGAGCTCAGCATGCGCGAGCCTGAGCTCCTCCTCCCCCTCCTCTCTGTCCCACCCTCTTCCTTCTGTACCTGCAGCCAGGCTGCTGAGTGGGAAGCCTGGGCCATTCCAACCTCTTCCTTCTCCACCCTCTGCTCCTCAGAGCACTGGCCTCCTGGCTCTTCCCTCCTGCCAGTCAGCCACCCTCTGAGTCCTGTGACTTTGCCACACCGTGCTCTGATCCCGCCCCTGCCCCGCCACTCCTGTTTACCCTCAGCACCCGCCCCTGTTCCAGAGAGGACCCAGACTTCATTTCAGGGCACGGCTTCTCCTCCACCTCTCGCAGGCGTCTTGTCCTCCACAGCCAAGGGGGAGCGTGGCCAGCTGGGGTCCAGCAGACATCCCCACTGCACCTTGTCCCCCAGAGTGAGGCTCCCTGGGGCAGTTCATCCCGGGTTTATTGAGTACCTGGCACCTGACAAATACGCACGAGTTCCAGGTGGGTACAGGAGGGGACTTTTGCAGACTCAGAATTAGGACTTCGTGGAGCACTGCTGTGACATTCTCATCTTCACAGTGATGGTGTGAATGTGGGCTGAGTGGCCAGCCTGCTGGCAGCCTCCACCCGAGAGGTTCCCTCACCTGGAAGGAAGGTGCTGGTGGCACTGACCCCGTCCCCAGCCTTATCCTGGTCAGCGATTCCATTAGTACCTGGAATGGAGTCACAGGAGGTGGCCTGAGGTTCTGTGACAGCTGACAGAAGAAGTCAAAACTCTCTAGAGAGCTTGTCACACTCCCGTTCCAACAAGATGAAGTGACACTAACAGGGTTAAATAAATACGGAGGCTTTGTTGCGATGTCAACACAGTGGATGGGATGCTGAGGGTCCAGTCTGGCTGCCATCTGCACACAAGTGAGGCTGAGTTTAGCGACCCCACGTGCAGTGTGAACCTAGAGCAGTCTGGCTGCTGGAGGAGGAATTGCTCGGGCTGCATTCAAAGAGGGCATGTTCCCAATGGGCGGAGTGCGCTCCAGCTGTGGGTTTCTATCTAGAGAGGAACATCTTCACCCAGAGAACACTCAGGTGGTGGGAGGGTCCAGAAAATGCACAGGGGAGGACACAGGAACTAGAGCCGCTCACTTGAGCGAGGCAGAGTTGCCACCTGTGCATACACACTGTTGTGTCAAGCACAAGAAAACCTTAACAGCATCAGAGGAAAAAGACCAATGACCTTGAAGACGTGAAGGCCAAGGATGCCAGGAAGCAGAGGTGCAGAGGGAAATAGCTCACATCGCGTACCCGACAGCCTGTCATTCAAGAGTGAGGCGAAAATAAAGACTCAGGTATACAGAGGTTAAGCGAGTTCACCACTCAGATGCTTTTAAGGGAACGATTACAGAGCATTATTTATTAAAACGAAATCCACTGAGCCAAGAAGTTGATGAAATGTCAGTAAATTTAACGATTGACTGTAAAAACAAAGCCTATTAATTTTTGTGTCAAAAAAGAAAAAAACAACAACAAAAAAACCCCTCTGAAACTCTAAAGAAATACCAAGATGGTAGAGAAGCAGGTATTTAAAGGCAGGTGACAGCGTGTTATGGCCTCTTCCTGGCCATGGGAAGCCACATACCGTCTCGTATAGACTTTATAGTATGTATTTAACATTGTTAAGGGTTCTAAAAGGACAGAAATTTAACTAATAATTTCCTAATAATCAAAAAGAAAAACATAGAGAAGCTATTCGTACAACAAATGAATAAGGCAAAAAAACAAAGCAAAAATCCCTCGGGTGGCAGGCAGAAAATGCAAAATAAGATGGTAGAAATGAGTCTGAATATATCAGTAATCACGATAAATGGACTACATTCACTTATTAAAAGACAATGATCAGACTGCAGTTAAATACCTCAGATCTAGCTATGCTTATAAGATACACTAACATACACTAACACACAGAAAGGTGGTTGATTAAAAAACGCAAAAACGGACCATTTCAACAAAAGCCCAGAAGCTAGAATAGCAATATTAACCTCAGACAAATATAATTTAAGGAAAAGCCACGAACAGGGATAAAGAGAGATGCTAAATCACATCCATCAAAAATATATAATAATCAAGGATAATATGGGCCTAAGAACATCATGTTGAAATATAGAAAGGAAAAACTGACAGAATGACAAGGAAAAACGAACAGCTCTGCAACGTGGTGGAGATTTTAACATGCCTCATACGGAGGGGTCAGGCGAGCCAAACACTGAGGCACAGATGCACCGAAATAACCAAATTAACAAGTTTAATCTAATAGATTCTTTGCAACCTCTCCACTCTGAAACAAAACCCAGCTGCAGAGGACACAAAAGGCGCCTCAGATTTCAAAGAGCTGGAGTCACATGGCCTGCGTTCTCAGGGAATTACATGGAGAGCAGGAGGAAAATGGTGGATTGAAAATGTGCTCGCGGGTTAAGCGATTAAATCAAAGTGGAATTCACTGAGTCTTTGGAACTGAAAGTGCCACAGAGCAAAGCCTGCGTGAGGCTCAGGGGGCATCTAAGGACCTGGGATATATTTCTAAGAACAAGCCAGACAGAAGCCAGTGAGGGAGGGTGCAACCCAAGTGGCCAGGAAAAGAGCATTTGGGTAACCCGGAGGCTAGAAGAGGGAGAATGGTGACCGGAAGTTGCTGAAACAAAAGAAACACAGTGAGGATTACCAAACCAAAGAAAAAGTTACATAGACAAATGTAGCAGGGTTGATGAGGAAGGGACACTGAACACTGTGAGGACAGAAGTGTATTTACAGGCAGGACAGAGGTTCTAAGTCATAAGAGAAGGCTGGGGACAACTTTATGCCAGTAAATCTGAAACCTGAATGAAGTGTACAAATTTTATAGAAGATACGGGTAATGAAATGGACTCACAAAGAAGTAACAATTTTGAATAAACCGGCAGGCATTAAAGAGACCTTAGTAATCAAAGATACCCTCCTATGAAAAGACTCAGGCCTGATGCTCTCCGGGGCCTTTTTAAAAAATTTTATTGGGGAACAGTGTGTTTTCCCAGGACCCATCAGCTCCAAGCCAAGTCGTTGTTTTCAATCTAGTTGTGGAGGGTGCAGCTCACTGGCCCATGTGAGAATTGAACCGGCAACCTTAAGCCTGTGCTCTAACCAACTGAGCTAACCAGCCGCCCATCTCCAGGGCCATTTTACCCTCTTCAACATTCTAAATAACATGCAGGTCCAAGTCCCAACCAAAACCCCTGGGTGAAAAGGGTACTGGAATTCAGAATTTTCCAGATGTTCCAAAGGCGAGTTTGCCATATAATGTGTTATTCCCTCGAGATCTGAGATGCACCCCAGGACAAATGCACAGACACTCACATAGCCTCATGTTCCTTCTGCTCAGGTTTGTTTGCTGCCTTAGTCTGTTCAGGCTGCTGTGACAAAATACCACAGACCAGGGGGTTATAAAAAGCACACATTGATTTCTCACCGTTCTGAAGGCTGGAAATCCAAGATATGGGCTCTGGAAAATTTGACACCTGGTGAGGGCTTCCTGGTTCATAGATGATGTCTTCTCCTGTGTCCTCACATGATGGAAGGGGCAGGGAGCTCTCAGTATCCCTTTATCAGGGCACTAATGGGGACCCCCCCACACCCTTCATGACCTAATCATCTCCCAAAGGCCCCACCTGTTAACATCATCACATTGGGGGTCAGGACTCAACATATGAATTTTGAGAGGACACAAATATTCAGTCTGCAACATCTGCCAAATGAGTTTACCACAAACACACACACACACACACACACAAAACAAAACCCAAAACAAACAACTTTGGTTGTCAGAATTTGGGTTTTGGAATTATAGATAAGAAATCATGGTGCTAGATCAATAATCACATTAAACAGAGTATAATTCAGCTCCCTCTGTCCCGCCCCCACAGCGTGACCAGCTAGGGTTTATTCCAGGAGCACGAGGGTAACATCAGAATATTGTCCACATGAAGAGATTGAAGACAGAAAGGATGGCCCATTTCATAGATAAAAACGTTTTTCAATAAAATTTAGCACTCATTCACAAAACATCTCAGCAATTAGGGGCAGTACTACACGAGTTCATCCAAATCAGGGCGTCCACCTGGATTCACCTTGTGGAACTGGACGTAGCTCTGGAGGCATCTACCCATTTTCTTTCTTCTGGTGTTTCTCTTACTGGAGATTTCAACAATGCAGTAAGAGGAGAAAAGAAAGAAATAGGAAAGCTAAGAACTGTAAAGGTGGAGGTATAACTGTGTTAATGGTGTCAACATAAGAAATATCGAAACCTGTAGAGAAGTTTGAGTTTATTTGAGCCAAACTGATAACAATGGCCGGAAGCAAAACTTCAACGGATTAAGAAAATGCTTCAAAAAATGGCAGTTTTGCAGCTTCTTTTATACATTAGAATCAAAGGAGGAGACGTAAGGAAGGATACATGAAATCCATTGGTGGTAGATTAAGGGGGCGGGAGAAAGCAAAATGGGGAAGTCTCTGGGACTGAATAAACAGTAAAATGGAGAGACACTTCTTTTACACTGGTGGGTGCAGGATAGTTAACAACTAACATTGTACAGCACAGAGATGATATTGGGAAACAAGGTAACAATGAGGGGTTCTGTAGTTTGGAGCTCTGCCATGGAGGGTTGTGCCCTGAGAGGTCCAGAAAAATGATTACTCTGATATTATTCCAGGGGTATGTTATCTTAGATGTAAAAAGACAATAGACAGGCTCACTTAAGGTGAAGATTGACCTTTGTTTTGTCAAGAAAGCTACAGGCTGAGGATGTGACTACCCGCTATGACCTGCTTTTAGTTAGGAATTTTTGTTCAGACCATTCTATGTGGTTGATTTTGATCTCTGAGTTCGTAGGGCCTCCCCTGAGCTTGTCAGGTTTGGTATGTGGCCCCTTTTTCATCCACATTGGGCAGATGTTGATAACCTATAAGAAACCCACAAACGAATTCAGCAAGGCTGCAGGATGAAAATTCAACACACGCGCGTGCGCGCACACACACACACGCACCCCCCCCCCATGTCAAGAACAAATTAAAAAATAACGTAAGAAACCCCATTCATGTTTCCAACAAAAGGCATAAAACAGCTGGAACTAAATCTCTCAGAGGACACGTACAATCATTATGGAGAACATTGCAGAGCACGAGGAAGTCTGGAGAAACAGGGCTGGGTCACGTTTGTGGACTGGAAGACGCAGTTTGTCAAGACGGCAAGTCTCCCCAGATTAATCTCCCAATGCAATCACCTCCAATAAAATTTCCAATGAGATTTTTTTAAAAGGAACTTTCAGCTGCTCTTAAAATTCATGTGGAAGAGAGAAGGGTCAAGAAGAGCCAAGGCTGTTTGGATAAAGGAAACGGGGGTGGGTGCCTTGTGCTAATACATATCAAGACTCAAGTAAGATGGGAGTCTCGGCAGCCGAGGAGAGAAAGTGGTCAGGACAATGGGGGGCGGGGCGTGCCTGGACACTTGGTAGAGAACAGAGTTCAGTGGTAGAAAGATGGAAGATTCCGTAACTGAGAACATTAGTTATTCCACACGGGAAACGTCAGGGTGCTTCATACCACCTGTGAAAATAAATTTCCAATGAATTAAGGGCTTACATGAGAAAAGCAAATCTTCGTAACTTTTAAAACATATGGGAAAATATATTTAAGAGCGTGGAGTAGAAAAGGAGTTTTTCGACCAGAAAAACTCAAACCATAAACAAAATTAATGCATTTGGATATATTAAACATTCTAAGTTATGCACACGGATAGAGAGCATTAAATGAAGTAAAAGGCAAGCCACGTCAACCAATATATAATCAAGAAAATTACCAACAACCAACTAGGAAATGGGCAAAGAAAAGGGACAGGCAACTCACAGAATAAGAAACGAAATGGCCACTAGACATGTTCCAAATATTCCACCTAACGAGTAATTAGGGAAATGCAAATCAAAACAAAGAGATTCCATTGCACACCCAGCACAGTGGCAAAAATGAAACGTCTGTTCGTCTGTGTTGGCATGGAGGTGAGATTGGCATCTCACGTGTGCTGGAGGGCGTCTGCACGGGTATGGCCTCTTTGGAAAGAAGGGGGAAATATCTAGTAATTGAAGAGTCCGGTGTCGGCTGCTGCCAGCTCCCAGCATGTCCCCGAGCTCTCCTTGGCCTTGTTCTGTCACTGGCCACCCAGGGCCCAGGGGAAGCTGACACCTGGTGGGTGGCTTCAGAGCCCAGATATGTGATCTGTGGACATTTATGTGTTCAAGTGTGTGTACATCTGTATGTGTGTGCATATGCACAGCATGTGTGGTTATGTGACTGTGCATGTGTGTGCATGTAAGCATGCATGTATTTGTTAGTGTGCACGTGTGTATGCATATCCATGAGTATGCCCATGATTCTGTGTGTATGTATGTACATGTGTACAGGTGAGTATACAGGCCTGTGCATGTATGTATGTTGCTATGTGGTGTGCACACACGTATGCATGTATACACACATCTGTGTGTGTCTGTGTGTCCATGGGTGTCTGTACGCATGCGTGTGCACGTACGTGTGTGCAGGAGGCAGCCAATGGTGCCGTGTCTCTCCTTTCTCAGGAGTGGCTCTTCCCTGTCATGGCAGTGCTAACGGGAGTGTCGCTGATGCATTAAGGATGCGCCTGCTTGTTGCCGCTGTTGTTTTAATGGTTTTATTGCTCGGCGGTGGGGAAAGGGCTGGCAGGCTGGAATGAAGTAGATTGATGGCTTAATGGCCCGTAGCCATTACAGAGTAATTGAATGGCTGTGTATATATGATCAGACTGTCAATGGGCAACGTGCACTGCAAGCCGATCATGAGAGGGGCTGCTGGGTGGGCACAGCTCGGGCTTGGGAAGAGGACCCCGGGTGGGCATGGGCCACCATGTAAAGGAGCATGCAGATGTGCCAGGGTGGAGGGCTGCACCTGACACACATCACCGCACAGGTAAGGTCGTGCCCAGAAGCCTGCACGTGAACCCGAAACACGGCCGCTCATACACATGCCTGCACGTGGACGCCCAGCCCCATGTGCATATGCCCTCTCCTCTTACACACGCAGGTGTCCGGTGCACCCCACGTGTCTGTACACTTTACATACCTGTATGAAGCCCCACGCACCAGCAGACACAGAGGGATGGCACCTTTGGAGCGACCTGGGGGGAGACGCCTGTGCCCGACTGGGCCGAGGGCATGCTGTGCTGGGGATCAGGGGTCAGAGGCTTGCAGTTCCCATGCCTGTGGAGGTCACAGTTTTGGCACAGGCCAACAGGCCACCTGCCCAGTCCCACGTTGAGGGGGGCTGCATGGCCTCAGGGGAAAATAGGGAGGTGGCTGGGAAGCCGTGGCAGGACCATCACGTTCAGGTGACATGGCTGTGCTGCAGGAAGGGTCCTAGCCCTGCATGTCCAGGCCCCAGGCCCCTGTCCTGTGCTCCTGCAGCCCCAGTTCTGGGAGTAGCCCCTGCCAGCCCAGCACCCAGGCTCCACACCTCCCTGCATGGAGAGGACCCTGAAAACCACCTGTAAGGGGCTGAGGGCTGAGATGGAAACCTCCCTTTGTGGAGCCTACTGCCTGTGCTGGGAGCTGGGAGGAGCCTTCAGGGAGGAGAGTTCAACCGAATCCTCCGGGAGCACCCTTGTCTCTGTCTTTGCAGAGGAGGAAACAGGCTCGAGAGGCACATGGCTGGTGTGAGGATGCCAGGGCGTGTCCTCGGGCCCTGGCCACCCAGCTCAGCTCTTGCTCCAAGGAATTGTCTCCAACTTGGGTCTGGAAGAGGGAAGAGAGGGGGTTGGCAAGGGTGGATGCAAGGATGGAAGTGGGCTTCCTGCCCTGGCCTCGGCCAAGCCAGGCTCCCCCTGCCATGCCCTGGAGACCCCTTCCGCAAACCCCTTCGTTCCTCTGCCCAGAGGTCCCTCTGTCAGCCTGTCTGGGCCTGTTTCCCATGTTCTTCATTGCTCAAGGGAACGTTACCTGTGAGTGTGTGAAGGACACCTCAGTCCACCCCTTGGGGCAGAGGCCTCACAGCCATGCCAGCCCCAAGACCCCAGGACGCTGGTTGGAGAGGACTTGGGAGCCAGAGAGAGGCCAGCCGGACCAGGTTCCGAGAGGATTGTTCAATAGCACTCATTTTCTGACTCTTAAAATGCCAGCTAACAAGAGATTGGTATAAGATTCAGGGCACAAGAAAGACACTTACTAATCACTACACATCTGGAGGCTGAACCAACACAGTGTGCTCTCACGTCTGGAGGTCCAGCGCCTTCTCTGGGGCTAGAATCAGGCATTGCAGGGCTGGTTCCTCCTGGAGGCTCTAGGGAGAACCGATTTCATCTTTTCTGGCTTCTTGGCCCTCTGCCTCTCCCTCCATCATCTAGGCCAGCAATGACAGCTCAAGTGTCACTCCATCACTGACTCTGGCCCACCTGCCCCTCTCCCATTCTTAGGACCCGGTGATAATGCTGGGGCTCACCGTTGCCTCATGAAGTAACCTGTTCGAAAGCCTGGTCTCAGGGACCAGGATGTGGACAACTCTGGGACAAATGGTGGTCCCAGAATCCTAGGGCAGGTGGGGGACCCCCAGGGACCCGGCAGAGGTGGGCTCAGGTTCCCTTGGGATGGCCTGTGCTGTAGCTTTCACAGCTCCTGACCAGCTCCAGGATGACTGTCCTATCTGGGAAGACTGAACCAGGCCAGGAGCCAGCTCCCTTCCCCCTGATGTGCCTGCGCCAAGCATGTCTCCAGCACGCTGCTACCCCATGCAGCCACACCCTGCTCTTGACCTCCTGTCCAGCCTCTTCTCCCAGGCTCCAACACACAGAAGAACCCCAGGGGCCTGCCAGCTTTACCTGGGCCTGCGCTCCGGGCCGTGCTGCCCCACCTCCTTCTAGGGTCGTCCAAGACCACCTGCCAAGACCAGCTCAAATGCCACTTCCTCTGGGGTGCTCCCAGTGTTCCAGGAGTGCTTCTGTGGGAGTGCCCACCACCCCTCCAGCTCCCATGCACTGTTACGCTCATTGGTGGCTTGGTTAGTTGTTTGTGTGTCTGACTTCACCCCTTGGGCAGGGCTGCTGAAGGTGGGACAGCCAGGGCTTTGGGCCCAGAGAGCATGGGTTCCACCCCAGCCTTTCTCTTCCCAGGGCCTTGGGACGGTCACTCACCTCACTGGCCCTGGTTCTTCATCTACAAAGTGGGCTGAGACCACTCCCCTCGGGGTACCCACTTGCATGGCCCCCACGGCCAGGAGCGCAGCCAGTCCCACTGGGTTTGTGAACATGTTGGGGACCTGAGTCGGATCCCCAGCCTCGTATCCAGGTGGGTGGGAGCCCCGCCCCACCTCGCAGTGAGCCAGGCAGGCTCCCGGGGGTGAGGCAGGTGGTGCGGCCCCTCCCCGCGGTCATCCATCTCCCAGCTTTATTAATGGCCTTGTCAGCACGGCGTGGGACACCCGCGGCTGTCTGCAGTGATAGATCGCGAAGCGCCTCTGCTGCTATTTATTCTCCAGTGACCTTGTCCCCCCATTGTTGCACGCGTAAGAGTTATGAATGTGGGACATGATAATTTGATATTGATCTATTTGGTGAGCTAAGAATTTACTGCATCCTTGATGTTTTAACAAAGGATACACTTGACTCCCATAGGCAGGATAAAGGGCTGCTCTGACCACTGCTTCCAGCCCAGTGGGAGGGGACAGCCGGCCCTGGAGGACCCACCAAGGCAGGGTTGTAGGGATTCTGGGAAAATGTGGGCTGCTCTGGCTCAGGGAGGTTCTAGAAGGGTCACTAAGCAACTATGGCAATGCACATAGGACCACAATGACAAAGATGACCTTGAGCAACTGACCAGAGACAGAGAGTCCACATGCAGACAGACTCTACTGTGACCATTGAGGACACAGAGATGGGGACATGGGCTAAATGTGAAAGATGGGGTGGGGGGATTGTGGGGGGTGGTGAGGGGATAGGGGAGGGGATTGCAAAGGAAGGGGGGGTGATGGGAAGGGGGTCCTGTGAGGGACCCCGCCCAGCACAGCCTTATCCAGTGGTTGGAAGGTGAGGTGGGTACCCAGAAACAGGCCCAGGAAGTAAAGAGGATCAGCAGGAAGAAGTGGGTGTGGCAGGGACAGACAGCGCAGGTCCCCAGGAGCCCCCAGAGGGAGACGGTCACAGGACAACCATTTTAAGAACTGAGCTGCAGTTTTCAAATTTACTGTTTAGTGCTGGAATCGTCTTCAAAATATTTTTTATGTAGAAACTCAACATAAAACAAAGAGTTTGGATTTCAGAGCTTAAGGTGATTCTGGGGACTCCTGGAAAACTTTTATAATCCTGGTCCCACTTGGCCCAAAAACTTGGGGGTGTCACAGAGCATGTGAGTGTGCATGTGAACACAGGTGTGCATGCAGGGATGTCTGTGAGCATACACGTATGCAGGCTGCTGGTACATGTGTGCAGAGGTGTGTGTGTGGTATGTACACTTCTAGGCACGTATTTCCTATTCATTGTTGAAGTCAGCCTGGCATTGTACCCATTTTTACATGGTGATCTTGTCTAAAACTGGGTGCTGAGATGCCATTTTCTGCATGATTGTATCACTTCGTCCTCCCAAAAGACTGCAGCAGGAACTGTCTCCAGGACCACCTTTATAAGATAAGAACCCCAAGTTTAGTGCCCCAAGAGCCAGGCCATGAAGCCCTCTATCTCCGAGCAGGCAGACACGGGGTCCCAGCCTCACCTGTGCTGGCAGGCAGCTATGCTCGTGGACACACCTGGAAAGTCCGGTCCCCTGGCCCCAGGACATGGAGTGCATCTATGATATCCTGGGGCCCAGCACTGAGTTCTGCTCTCAGCCGGGCATCTGCACCCGTAACATTTCCGCTGTTGCCCCAGCTCTGGGAGGGACTTGGGAGAAAAGTTCCAAGGGAAGCCAGACCCAGGAGTGGCCGTTCTCATGTTCCAAGTGTGAAGCTGGCAGGGCGAGGCTCATGGCACAGGGGAGCTGGATGTGAACACAGCGGCTGTGGGCTCGCTGCCAGCCTGCGTGCATCCCTGACCATTGGGAACCTTGAGTCGTGGGTGTGGCGCCAAGGCCAGTATGGTGATTACGCATAAAGAGTCAAGCCGTGGCTGCGGCTGGGTGGGCACAAAAGTGCCTGGTGCCTGGGCAGTGGGTGCTGGGGGCCTGGCCTGTGCTGACCCCCACTGATGGAGTGCCATGCCCTGCCCTGACACGCCGCTGTGGGCCCCTTGGGGGAGCCAGGGGAACCAGGGGGCTCCTGTGTGGGGTCACCAGCCCCCACGACTCGACTTCTGAGGGAGCAAAGCCCTTAGTCCTTGGTCAGGATCAGAAAAGCCCAGAGGGGGCGAGCGCCGGCCTCAGATCACAGACCAGGGAAACCCAGGCAGAGTGCACAGGCCTTGTGTGCTGGGGAGGGGCCGCATGGTTTTGGCCCCAACATTTCTGTGGCTGTTTCAAGCCTGTCCCCCCTTGGGGGTCTCTTCCCTTGGCTGGACGGACAAGAGGGCAGCAGAGCTTCATGCTGGCTGCTGATGTATATACATCCAGAGGGAGGGACGTGGCTGGACCCAGGGTCAGGTCGAGCCAGGTGTGTTCTTTCCACTCCTGGGCCTGAGGGACCCTGCAGGCACAGCCCAGCCTCCCTTCTGCTCCAAGGAGGCAGCCTGTCTGAGCAGCAGCCCCCTCTAGGCATGCTGGGTATTCTGGGCTGCCTTTAAACAAGTTCAGACCCAGTGTGGCCCCTCCTAGGGAGGATGAAGGCAGATGGGTTGTCAATCAGGCTGTCACAGCCCAGCTCCCAGGATGCCAGCTCCTGGCTTTACTGTGGGAGCTGAGTGAGGGATGGTGGGGCTGCTTGGTGAGGGTCGCACCCTCGAGGGAGAGAGTATATGTGTGTGGGAGGGGAGTGGGAGCATTTTCAGCCAATGGGGCATTTTCTGGACGCCTCGTGAACCTCGGTCCCGTTGACTTAGCAAGTAGGGCACATACTTTTGTGTCCTTAGGAGGGCCTGTTCCAAGGACAAATCAATGTCCTTCTGTGGTCTTGTTATTAGTTGAAAGTATTTGCTATAGATGACAGCATAAAGCAAATAATTATGTAAACATTTTTAGGAATCAAAAATTTCGGTATCAAGACAGATACAGTGTCAAATCAGTGGGATTAAGCAAAGATCCTGCAGTGCTGAATCTGCCTTTTCTCAGTAGCATGTGATTATGTGGTTCCCTAGTTACCACAGGGCCAGATGCAAGGACAGCGGGAAGTCTGGGTATCCTCCGGGGTGTTGAGGGCTGCCCTCGAGAGAACCAGCTGTGGACGCAGCGACGGAGCCCCTTGAACGGCCTGCTCAGTATGTGGGTGACCAGCCTGCATGTCCAGGCCTCAGGCAGGAAGGAGCGAGGGGGCTGGACATTCTTCTGAGCGAATGCCACCGCCAGGGTCAGGCCTTCGGGGGTGACAGGCCACATGCAGCACTGGTGTGGGGACAGTGGTCCTGGCTCCGCCTTCCCTCACCAGCTATAGGCTCTCAACGAGGCACCGCCCCCCTGCTCCAGCCTCCAGCTCCCACAATTCGCTGCTCTTTGAGACACAGATTCCGGGGACAGGACGTTCTGGGAAAGTCAAGGCCAGACTCTTGCTGTGCTGTGAGCGCCGCTTCCCAGCAGTCGCAGGCAGAGAAGCCACCATGGTCTCCAGTAAGCTGTCCAGAACTTTCTGGATTTTCCACTTGGAGAGCACATGGGCATGCACGCACCTGAATCAACACAGCCAAGCGTGGGGAGTGGAAACGCTGACACACGGCTCGCCCTCTGGAGGTCTGTGCGCCAGTGGCTGGGGAGTGTGGAGGACTGGGGCCTAACGGGGAGCAGAGGGGATGCTGTGGGAGGGGTATGGTCAGGAGAAGGTGGCGTTTAGACGAAGACCAGAAGGAGGGGCTGGGATGCAGGGGTGTGTGGAGAGAGCAGCACGGAGGAGGCGGGGAGGTTAAAGGTCAAGGTGCAGGGCCACTGGTGTTCAGCCTCTGGCGACTGAGAAGATTTGGACTCCATATGAGGACAGCAGGATCCATGCTGCAACAGCTGAGGTGAGCGGCTGTGACAGGGACCATGTGGTCGCAGAGCCTAATATATTGACCACTCGGCCCATTCCAGAAGTCGGTGGACCCCTGGTCTAGAGGGTTGCCTAGGGGTGGGGGGTGCTAAGCGGCTGCACGCAGCTGCCCAGCAGAGGGTCAAGGCACTGAGCTTCCCTGGCTCTCTGGTCGCCTGAGGGGCATCCCCGCGGTGGCAGCTTGGCCCTGAAGGCCTACGTGAGCCTCCACCAGGGTCCCTGGGGCACAACGATGGCACTCTCATGACGCAGGCTGTCCCAGAGCAGCACAGGGAAATGTCAGGGAGGGCAGAAGAGACAATGGCATGCCCAACCCCCCTCACCTGGACGCCCGGGCCTGTCCTCAGGGTTGGCTCCTCAGAGCAGTCGGGGTTTGACTAGGAGGCTCAGGAGGGGTCGCAGGTCAACTGGGGTGGCCACATGGGGATCCTAGTCAGCGAGAGACATCCTGTGCTGTGACACGCACATGCACGCAGACACAAGCACTCCTTGTACCTGGCATGGCCCTGGGTGGACAACGTAGCACAGGCGGTTTTCTCTGTGAAGCTTTACTGAATTTCCTTTGGAGACCTGTACCCCAGGGTGACGACACCTGGGCCCTCCTGGGATCTGCCCAGCAGCCTCAGGGCATAAGGGGCTAAAAAAAGGGTGAGGCTGTGGCCACAGGGATGGGGCAGAGGAGGCCTCTCGCTGTAATCTCTTCCGTCAGGCCCAACTCAACCCCACGTGACTTAGGGGGATTCAAAGTGGATGCTGGCTCACGGGCGCCTAGCCCTGGTCCTGCGGATAGAACTGCCGGACGAGGTCCTTCTTGTTGATCTTCCCCATCTGGTTCCTCGGGATCTCCTCTACCAGCAGCAGCTCCGAAGGCACGGCATATGGGGCCAGGACGTCTCTGCAGAGACAAGCTTGGCCTGAGTGGCAGGAACTCCGGGCCCGGACCGCACCCGCCCCATGGCCCAGAAGCCTGGCCACACGGGTGCCTGGTGCCCTGCTGCAGGACATGCTAACGCAGGGATGGCTCTCTGCCCACCCCGGGGGGAAGAGGATGAGCCCCACTCGGGGCCACGTTTTCCCAGAGCTGGAGAGACTTGGTTGTACTCTGTGGCCTGGTCACTATGGCAGCCTCGGCCAGATGGGTAGAGGAGGCGGTGGGAAGACCCTGGGCATCGTGACCATATGGGCCGGCACTGCCCTCCCCGCACCAGAGCCTAGCACCCAAGGAGCAGGCAGGACTTGTCTGTTGGTCCAGGAGCTGCCCTGCACCCCCCACTTCCATGAGAGGCACCCTGCTAGATGTGTTCTCCTGTGTGAGGCCACATGCTGGGGTCCCATGCCCACAGGATCTTCTCTGGAATTCCTCGTTAGACTACAGGCCCAAGTTCTCCCTCCCAAGGCCTCTGCTGGGCAGACAAGGGCTGCCTGCTCCCTGCCCTCTGACAGCCACACACAGGGCTACAGGCCCCTTTGTGGGGAGATAGCAGAAGCACAGGACGCCGCTTGGGGTGATGGCTCCTGGCCTCCTGGGCCAGAGGGGTTCCACTCCTGGGCTGCTGACAACAACCTTCAGGCCAGACGATTCAGACAGCAAGGCGCACGGCATGTGGCCCCTGACGTCTGGCCAGGGCCAGCAGGCGTGTGTGGCCCTCTAGCCTGCAGCTGTGGGGCAGCCTTGTCCACTGAAGATTAGTCTGGCAAGGGGCCAAGGAGCCGGCAAAGGGGGGGGGTGACAGAGAAACTCCAAATCTTGCCTTAACAGCTGGGTGTTTATGAATAAACATGAGCCTAATCGCCCTCGCAGGCTGGGTCCATCTCCCCACAGGCAGACAGCGTCAGCAGTACCGTGCTGAACGCACTATTATTTTCGGGGGTGGCTCCTGCCATAAACAGTCTGCAGGCAAAAGCCATGGCTCTGGGGTGCTCGGGGTGCTCGGGGTGCGGGCTGCTGGCTACTGAGGAGAGACGGTGCCACCAACTGTGGTCCTGGCAGGTGCAGGAGATGGCTGGCTGCCCCCTGGGGCTGGGAGAATGTGTGGGACTGGGCTAGAGTTTGCTAGACCAAGCCACCAGGTCTGGCCTGGTGTTCCTGACAGTGCAGCAGGGTGAACCCCTAAGGTCCAACATCCGCACTTGCTCTTGGAACACAGCTGCCCACAGGCCCCCAGACGAGCTGCCAAAACTAGGGGTCTCCAGTGGTGTTTGGGTGATAGGTCATGTTGTATGGCTCTCCCTATGCCCCTTCTTCCCTTCACTGCCCCCAGCACTGAGCTGGGGGCCAGGGCCCAGAGAGGAGGGGCCCAGGCGGGTCTGGGGCTGTGGCCCAGGATGACGGCAGATTCCTGTGAACAGCTGCAGGTGAGAAGGCAGTGGAGAACCATTTTCCAGAAACTAAAAGAAAAACCAGTTAATCTAGAACCCCACATCCAGACAAAGTATCTTTCAAGAATGAAAGTGAAATTAAAGACGTTTTTAGACACACAGAAGCTGACCGAGTCCCTTAGCAGCAGACCTGCCCCAGAGACGGGAGGGTGTCTGCAGGCAGGAGGAAGTCCTGCTGACAGAACCCAGGACGAGCCCAGGCAGGAAAAGCACCAGAGATGGGAAACAGATACTATTTTCCTTATGATTGAATCATCTTAGGAGATAGCTGTTTAAATGAAAACGAGAAGAATATGGTGTGGGTTTGTAACAAACATAAAAGTAGAGGCAGAGCGGGCTGCCCGAGTGGCTCAGTTGGTTAAGAGTGCGAGCTCTGAGCAACAGGGTCGCTGGTTCGATTCCCACATGGGCCAGTGAGCTGAGCCCGAGCTGAGCTGCCGCTGAGCTGTTGGCAGGATGGCTCAGCTGGTGAGAGCACGTGCTCCTAAGAACAAGATTGCTGGTTTGAGTCTTGCATGGGATGGTGGGCTGTGCCCACCCGCAACACAGCACCTTGAACTGAGCGGCCGCGAGCTGCCGACAGGCGGCCGGATGGCGACTGGACTTGGAGCTGAGCTAGCTGTGCCCTCCACAACTAAGATTGAAGGACAGCAATTTGGCTGTTCCCCTTCTCCAATTCCCCAACACTGTTCCCCTTCCCCAATTCCCCAATACAATTAAAAAAAAAAAAAAGTAGATGCATAGCAGCAAGGAGGCTGTCTGGGCACAAAGAGGCTGATGTCACGAGAGGGAGACTGAGGAGAGTCAAAGATGCACATTACAAACCCTAACGTAGCAGCCGCTAAAGAAAGAAGCAAAAGCTATAAAAATTAAAAAAAGAATTCTCTAAAAGCACTTTGAAGGATGTGGGTTTACAACATGGGGACCCTGCTGTTTCTAAGAACAGTGGTCCTTTTGGAACATAGTCTGTCCAAGAGTCTGTGACCTGGGCCTGCTCGACTCCAAGGGTTCCAGCTTAGCAACTGGACTAACAGGAAACTCTTAGAACTGCTTCAAGGCAGAGTGACATCTCGGACAGGAATCCAGCCAAGCTGACTTGTCTGTTAAGAGCAAGTTTTCCTGTGAAGAAGTGCGCTCAGACAATGGAGGTATTACCTAGCGCTTCCCCCGCTGGTGTCCTCAGAGAAGGGATGGTGGGGGACGGGTGGCCCAGGACTTCAGGTACCTCCCATTACCCATCATGGTCTGATCAGATGTCAACACCGAGGGTTCTTCCCAGGTATGTAAGTCCCATGTGGCCCATTTCAACTTGGCAGTTTGGGGAGGATGAAAGGGTGGTAGGTTGTCCACGTCCAAGACCCAAAACACGTGGCGGTGTTACCTCGTGCTGAGGCCACACTCACCCCCTTGAGGAGACGCACTGCCTGAGCTGGGGCTGCCGGCTTCCCCGTGAGTCCTGCTAAGAACGCAGCACAAGGGAGGAAGGCAGCCCTTTCCTTGGGGAGCAGAGGCTGAAAGGGTGGCAAGCATCTTCAGAAATGAAAAAAATGGAAGCGAAAGGGGAAACGTGATTTTAAAAAAAACACCGTTAAAAAGACCTCAAATGGCAGCGAACATGACCTAGAAAGAGACAGCAGCCTCACTAAGGAGCCAGGGTCCAGAAGACCCCTCTCCCATACGTCCCTCCCCACCCCCCACCCCCCACACACAGGGACAAAGGCTCGGATCTGGAGCCAGCCTTGCACTTTGAAAGAAGACCCTTCCCCTCCCTCCACAGGGTGGGCAACCTATGTGTCACCGCCCAATGATTGCCCAATTCGAGGACCCAGAGGCCCGGATGCTGGCCTCAGTCTGGGATAGTCCTCATGGAGACAGGTGACAGGCTGGCCGCCTGCTTTCCCCATCCTGTCCTCCCAGGAGCATCTCCCCAGAGCACCCCCAAACCCTCTGCACACAGTGCCTTTTCACACCCACGGTCACAAGCCAAGGCCATCAGTGCAGGCCCACCCACAGGGGCTGGGCCAGGAGCCTGGGCTTGAGAGGGTTGGAATGAGGAGCACAGGTGTGAAGGCGCAGAGATCAGCCGGGGGGTACGGGGGCGCCTGCCTGAGGACGGCCCAGGGTTAGCGTGAGGCTGGAGGCTTGGACCTGAAACGCTCTGGGAGAGCTCTCAGCACAGGATATATATATATGTATATGTATGTGTTTAACAGAGTAATTGTTTAATCAAAGCAGCATCCTCTCCTTTGTAAAATGGCAGCGCTCCCACTGCTTCTGCAAATCCCGAGGGATCTAATGGCCCAGCTGTGCTGCCCCTGATGAAACAACGGTTTCTACTGTTTGTGAAATCATGTTGGACGAGCCAAAAATATCTTTCGCACTGAGGAGGAGGCATGTTGGGGTAGAAGGGGGGGGAGTGTGAGGAGAGAGGGGACAGGAGGGGGAAAATCCTTGGATTTAAGATAAAGAACTCAGGGGAGATTACTAATAGTCTCCTTTCTGCGCTTGCAGGGACACTGCTCCACGGTTCCACCAGACTCACCTCCCTGTCGTGTCTGGACTTTGACAAGAATGGGGGGGTGTGGGGGGGGTTCAGTTTCATCCTAGGACTCAGCACCGGGCACCGGGAAGGGGCCTGTAAGCCTTGGGACAGAGAGAAACCACCGGGGCCAGGGCAGGTGGCAGACAAGCCCTTGGGGAGAGTTTAGGGTTAGATGGAGGCAAACCAACCAAGACGCAGGGTGAGGGAGGGACACGGACTGTGCTGCTGTGTGTGTGTGTATGGGGGGGGGCTGGCTCCCCTCGAAGGGAGACGGGGAGCTCTGACCTCGGGTCGGCAGTGAGCACCCAAGGGGCACATGAAAATGCCCTGAGCTCAGTGCTGGTGGTTTGGGGACAGCTGAGGGACGGGCGACGTGGTTGGGGAGGGAGAGGTGGGGAGGCCCTCTGAGCTGGCTCAGCCGCGCACCCTGGGCCATGCTGGATGCTCTGGCTCCGCTGCAGGTAAACTGAAGTTTCCCTGACAAGCCTCCTCCTAAGCCTGGGAGAGGACTTCCTCACTCACCATAGGCAAACCCATCCAAAAGCATGTATTTCTGCCACCTCAGAACCTTCCCCTGAAAGTCCAATCTGAGTTGTGTGGCTGGGGGCAGGAAGGGGGCTTCCATTTCCCTTTAAGTGCTCACGGCCCTTCGGGGACGGGCACGAATGGGGTTCTACATCTGCTTCTGCCGTCATTACAGAGCCTCCCTGGAGCCCTTTGTTGGGTGTATGGCGGGGAGGGCAGCCTTGTGTAAGTACCCCGCCTCCAGACGGATGACAGCAAGGCCCAAGACCCCTGCCCGTCCCTCCCCCTGACCATGACAGGTCCCCACCCCGCCCATCCCTTCCCCCACTCCTTCCTGCCCAGCCCTTACCTGGCCCACTCTTTGAGCTCCCTGTGGGACAGTGAGTGTCCCTCTTGAAGTGTCACCACTGCGGTAACCCGCTGGCCCCACGTCACGTCTGGAACTCCGATCACAGCCACATCTGTGAACAGAACAGGGTTGGGCACCTTAAATGCCACGATGACCACTGCAGGCTGAAGAATAGCCAGGAACGTGCAGGAAATGCCAGGGACTCGGGGTCCCTGGAGCAGGTCTTGGGGAACAGCCGTCTGACAGCGCTGAGCTCAGGGGCTCTGCTGGGGACGGGTGAGGACACGTTCCCACGGTCTCTGTGGGGGCCCAGGGTGGGAGCTGGCCTGCCCACCACTCCTGCCCCCCTTGCACTGTCCTTGGGGACAGTCACGGATAAGAGGGCTGAGGACGATTCCAAGTCCAGAATGTGAGGCCCCCCAGGCCTGTGGGCTCCCATGGATAGGTCACCTGAGAGAGCCCTGGAGAAACGGCGGGGCCTCGGCCCACAGGAGCTGCCTCTGCAATCCCCAGGGCCCTCACAGCCTGTGAGAGATCTGGGTGGGGCCCATGCTTCCGGGACTAGCACCCACAGCCACCCCCTCCAGTCCTGCCCAGGATGCTTGGCCCAGAGCCAACCTGAGCATGCCACCACCTCTCTTACATAAGAGCTGAAAGGAGCAGCCAGGAACCCCAAAAGACCTGGAACCAACTGTGGTGTGGGGTAGGCAGACACTACTGTGGGGTGGGGTGGGCAGTCCCTAACTGTGCTGTGGGGCAGGCAAAGCCCCACTGTGTGGTGTCCCAAGGTCGGATAACCTAGGCCCCGTTTCATCGATAATCAAACACAGGAAAAGACACCTGGCATGTTCCCGAGACACCGGGTCTGGACCAAGTGTAGCTGCTGAAACGGCAGCGCCATGGCCACTCACCCTTGATGCTGGGGTGGGTCAGCAGCAGCCGCTCCACCTCCAGGGCGCTGACCTTGTAGCCACCACTCTTAATGATATCCACTGACGTGCGGCCCCGAATCCAGTAGCAGCCGTCCTTGAACATGGCTGTGTCACCTGAGGAAAGGGGCTCTGGTCACCGGGAGGCAGGCTGGGGCCCTGCCTCAGCATGTTGTGGTCCCTGTGCCTGCAAGGACAGGCACGGAGGACACGTGTACATGCATGGTGAGCGCTGGGTGTCTGTGGCTGTGAGCGTTATCACCACTGGTACGCCGGCTGTGTGTGGGGCATGTTTGGGACAAGGCAAGTGAAGTGTGATGGCTGTGACCTCAATCTGTGATGCTAACACCAGGACAGGCCCCTCTGGTGGTGTCCCTACGCAGGTGTGAGGGCTGGGGCCCTGTGCTGTCACTGCCCAGTGGCCTTCCTACTGTCTCTCAGGTCCACGAAAACAGCGAAAACGAGACTCGGTCGCCTCCCAACATCCACTGCGGGGCTCCAGCCACTGCAGGGCCTGGCGGGGCCAGGCGTCACTGTGGCCCCTTTCCTGATGGGGCGCTCCTGAGGCACATGTGGTGCCACATGGGTCTCTGACAGGAGGAAACAGACTTCCTGCCCCTCCAGCTGACCTGCTTTCCCACCTTGATTTTTCTGGCCATTGCCCTGGTGGGAGCCCTTCCTAGCTAAGGATCCAGCCATCTTTTCTCAGACATCACCTAGCATGAGAGGGTGGCAGGCCAGCGGACGAGGGGTGTGAGGTCTGTACTCCAGCCCAGGGCATTGAGGGTGCAGTGACATAGGCTGTGTGAGTGCGCACATGTTTGTCAGTACGAGTGTACACGTGTGTGAATGTGTGGCACGTGCACATGGGGATGCCCCCACTCCACCCTCTGCGAGCAGTGCTGTTTCATGCATCTGCTCTCACACCCCCCCACACTTCACGCCGGGTTATTAGCTGGAATAAATCATAAATATTTCATTATACATCATGCCGTCTGACGCAGGAAGGCACCATCCATCACCTCGCCACTCCTCGCGACCTGCCGCAGCGCAGGGCGCTCTCCAGTCTATTAAACAAGACGAATGGGTGTGCTTGGACGGGCTGCCGGCTTATTTATAGTGCAGCTAGAAGGCCAGGCTCTAAGAGCACAGGGTGGCGAGCGTGGTGGTTCTCTCTCGTGCGCTGACAGGAAGCAGAAGGAACAAGAGGCTTTGGAAAGCTGCGCTGGGGTCCCGGGACAACCTGACGCTGCCTGTATGAAGTAACAGGAGGAGTAGGCTGCAGGGACTGCGGTGGACGCAGCTTGTCCTAAGTCCATGAACCGACCTCGGCCTTTCTCCCATTCCTGCTGTGCAGCCCTGGCTCTGGCCGTGTCCCCTCTGCACTGGACAGCTGTACAGTCTTCTGCCAGTTTCCTGACCACTGGATGCCCATCACTTAAATGCAGAGAATGGCCCGAGTCCAGGCCATCACAACTGCCTACTGCCCAGGGTGAGGCTGTGCTGGCGTTCAGGTCCCTCCAGTGTCTTCCTGACCCTGCTCCCGCTGGCCTCCACTTGCCCAGTGACCCAGCAGAGCGAGGTGTGGCTGCCTGCCCCGGGCTCTGCCTCTGACCCTGGTCTTGCTGGCGACGCCCCCCACTGCCCATACCAAGGTCGATGGGGTTATGGGGCCTCTATCAACATCACCTATACCCCCTTTGAACTGTTCTCAGTCCTGCTCTGTGAATGCAGCTTAAGCCAGGGTGAGAGTGCCCTACAGCTGCACCCACACGGGCCCCTCCGCAGCCCCTGGCCATGCACCCCTGGGGCATACACACCGGCTCCCTGCCTGTAATGTTCTAGTTCTCCCATCTGCCGCCTCTCCTTGATTCAGCCCTGTTCAGACATCATTTCTCTAGCGTATCCAGGTGTCCCCTCCCTGCACACCAGCTCGCAGTGGATGACAGCTTCCTTCGGCACCTGTCTCCTGTCACCAGCCTGATGAAGAGCAGTGAGAGCTCGGATCTCCTCCGAGGCAAGTCAGGCACTGAAATGGTAGGGATGGTGCTGGAGACATATGGAAGTGGTATCACGGAGAGATGCGGGGGTTGATATGCCAAGTAAGGGAAGGTGCACACGTGGGAGTACCCTGGCCACTCATTTGGATCACCGTCAGGCAAAGACAACACATGATGCAAATAGCAGAGATCGTCTTGGGTTATCCAGTGGGCCCCAAATGGGATCACATGTGTCCTTTTGAAAGACGGAGGCAGAGGGAGATGTGACACACACAAAAGCAGAGAAGCGCACAAGAGAACAGAGGCAGGGGTGGGAGTAATCAGCCGCAGGCCCAGGAACACCTGGAGCCCGCAGGCGCCGGAAGAGGCAGGACGGCTCCTCCACCTGAGCCTCCGGAGGGAGCGCGGCCCTGTGACACCTGGCTTTCACACTTCCGGTTCCTGGAACTGGGAAGGAATAGGTTCCTATTGTTTGGAGCCCCCAGTTAGTGGCCAGTGGTCACAGTACACCAAGGATACCCCCACCGAGTGAGGAGCTGTGCCCTGTGTCCTGGGGCACTGAGCTCCGGCAGCACCTCCTGGCGGGCCGGACGCAGAGGCAGGGCAGACTGGCCTTGTGGGCCCTGGTCTGGAGGGAAAGAGGCATGTGAGGTGGAGGCGAGGATGGGGAAGGGGTGGGCGTATGCACATGAAGTCTCGCGAGGGCAGGAGTGAGGCTGTGCAGAGCAGCCAGCAGGGCAGTGGGGTGGACAATAAAGGACGTTGTCCATCTTTACCGAGCGTCCCAGAGACCACGGGAAGGTCTGGCACAGGGTGAAGGGACAGCATCTGTGTCTGACAAACTCCTTCCCCCCGACTGTGGAAACTGCTGGGGGCTATAGCCATACCCAGGTGGGCGATATTGTGGGCGCAACAGCGGAGGGAACTCAGGAGCAGGGAGACAGGTGAGGATGGAAGGCGTCCACGCTCCTTGGCCCACCTCATGGGTGGGGTGCACCGAGAGCCTAGGGGAGAGCTGGGCTGGAGAAAGGAGTGGGGGCTTCACAAGGGTGGGCATGGAACCCGGGGGGTGGGGGCCACCCCAGGAAAAACAGAGCAAGAAGAGCTGAAAACAGTCCTGAGAAAGCCTGTTGCATACAGACCCTTCTGGAATGCAGGCTGGGGCTCCCAGATGACCTGTCAGCATCTTTAGGAAGCGCCTGGCATGGACCCCTGCCCCTGGAGGTCCTCCTTGAATGGCTGTGGCCAATGAGTGACAGACATGGTGCGAGGCCCACCCAGCCCAGAGCTCTGGAGGGGCCCCAGCCTCCTCATAACCATCCATGCTGACTGCTCACTGGGGGGGGGGGGGGAGGGAGCACAGGCCAGAGGTGGAGGGAGCCAATCAGAGGTCTGTGGGAGGCAAAGGCTCACCAAGGGGAACATTTGGGGACGGTCAAGAAGACAAGGACAGAGACGACCACTGCTTTCAGAAATGCGGAGGTCGTGGGACCATTGCCAACAGAGCTGTTCCTGTGGGATGAAGGGCTGGGGAGAATGAAGGAAAGGACTCTTGAGGAGCTCTGGCTTTGAGGGGCCTGGGAGGGACAGGTGTGGCCAGGCTCCGGGAAGGTGGGAGGGGGATGAGTTGCGGCACCCGCCTTCTCTGGGGTGAGGGAGGTCGGAGAGGGTGGTGGGACCAGGGGTGAGAATGGAGGGTCTGTGGAGCGGAAGGTCCACCTGATGCCAGTGTGGAGTCGCTCTGCTCTCCAGGGGACCCCTGTGCTGCCTGGAGACCCCGAGGTCCTGGCTGGACCACAGAGGGCAGATGATCAGGTGACGTACCCAGAGGGACATACTCGGAATTGGGAGGCGAGGCCCACATGGCTGCTTGGTGCCCTGAAAAGTGGACCCTGAACACTCCTCGAGACAGTCTGCTTCGTTTCCTTGAATATCTCTGAAGCGGGTGCTAAATCCCGGCAGAGCGTGGTCCCAGAGGTCCACAGTCTCTGGCCCACAGGCAGCCTTTCTCCGAGGGTGAGACTCGCCTGCAGGTCGGTGACACTGGTGCTCGGTGGTGCTCACGGAAAGGGTTTCTCAGAAACCCTTAGAAAAAGGGGTCCTCAGACTTTGAGAAGATGGGGAGACAAAAGCAAGCCCGCACGGGTGGGAGCTGTCTGCTTACAGAGCAAACCCCGTGGTGCCATTATTTACACAGTAAGACTGCTGAGCGATGTGCCCGCTCCATGCATCTGCAGTGCCGCCCCCAGCCACCCTGTGTGCAGAGCGGAGTGGACGAGGTGCAACTCCCTTGGCTTCTCCAGTGGGCCTGAAAACACCTGCATTGGGCAGCATCTAGGAGGAAAGGAGTTAAGGAACAAAGCAAGTCTCCAAACCTCCAAAGAGCCTACGGCGGACAGCATTAAAATTGTTTAAAAATTAAAAGGAAGCGTGAGACGAAATCTCTGCAGCGCTCTGAGGCAGTAAAACTGTGCTCCCTGCAGCCTATGTGGCCACCCTGTGATAAAGAGCAGACCCTGTGATAAAGAGGAAAGGGCGTGAGGCCAGACAGAGCCCTGGCGTTCACGCAGGGAAGAACTACTGAAGAGCAGCACCTCTGAGCACAGATGGTGCAGTAACAGCACCTGCCAGGCCCTCCCGTGCCAGCCGCCTGCAGGGACGGTGCTGGGCACTGGAATACCTTGTATGGTTGCACGGGGAACTCAGCCTTTCCTCTGAGGCTACCTGCCCACCCCACTGCCCAATCATGTGAAACACTGCAGGCCCTGAGAGGCTGAGACTGCCCATCACCGCAGGCCTCACCCACCACACCTTGGAGACCCGGCCAGCAGATGTGTGGCCCATGTCCAACCCTGCCTCTGGTGAAATGCAGATCAAGCCTGGTTGGGTGCAAATAAGGGTCTTGTTTGCAGGCAGTGGCCCCCTGTATTGGACGGCTCAGGTCTGCTCCACAGCTTAGGACGAGACCTATTGAGCAAATGTGTCACCAGGGGTCTGACCATGGAGTGCAGAGACTTGCCTCGGGGATGTGGATCTCTAGGAATTGTGCTGAGGACAAAGGTCAATTCCCAATAATTCCATTTCTATGACATCCATAAAGGATAAGGAACAGGGGTT